TTGGGATTTTTCTTTTGCAAGTATTTAATGGGAAGAATATGGCTATATAATTTTTAATGTGTGGTTATAAAGTTACATTCTGTATCTGCTCTTTCAAAATCTGATTTTAAAAGACTTACCACAGGAACACTATTAACAAACAGTGTATAATATTTCTGTGAAATTGTAAAAGGAACTGAAGATTCCATTGGGTCTCTTCATTCTATTTTGAGGAAAAGAAGAAAACAATTCTTGTTGCTCAGCCAACATTGCCTTACCAAAAACACTTAGTGGCTGCTTCGTTATTTTGTTCTTAAATAGAATCTTTTAGGCTCTGTTCCAGAGTTACAAAACAGACTTTTTTAAGAAAGGAAAGCTATAATGATTTTGGAGCTTTAAAAAATATTTTTAATTAAAATGTTTTAGCTGGAGGAGTGGATATATTGTCCCCTCTTACTTCTTCCCTTGTTTGGAAGTTAATATTTTGACTTGTAGACAGCAAGAGAGTGAGATCCTTAGAATCTCTTCCTAGGCTAGTGTTTGTCCTCTGAGATAAGGCAAATAAATAGTCTCTCCAGTGAAATCTCCAAGTAAAGAATGAATTTAGTGACCTGAAATTGCTCGTGTGTGATCTCTGGGTCTGTTGTTTGTGTGAAGAAATGTGTTTCCTCCAAAGTATAGGATTTAAACTCTCATTTTAGGTTTTCCTGTGTCCATATTACTCATGCTAGCATGAATGGGTGCTGGCATCTAGCATATTTTGAGTGTTTCTGAGGTCCCATGGAAACAGCTAGAAGAGGCCATCTGACCTCTGTAGCCTCCTCCTGTGATCCTCCCTCACTTTCTCTCTTGCTTCTTTGACACCGAACTGCTTGTAATTCTAGGCCCTGAAATTGCTATTTTCCCTTCTCTGCACAGAGGGCCTTGATTTGACTCTTAAGTCTATGCCTGGAGAACCCTTTCCCCTGGTTCCAGGCTCAGCTCTACAAGAACTTTGTCTTGATACCTTCTCTTCCCTAGGAGTTTCTTCCTTTGTACCTAAGGATCTGTGCAGTTCACCAGCGCCGCACATGTCTGGTCATGTCTGCTGATGTGTTTTCGTCTGTGGGAAATGCGCTCACCCGGGGTAATCCTCACCTCTACCTTCTCCCTTCATTGATGGAGAAAATCCCATGCAAAGCAAATGGCAATCCTGACTCATCTTTCTAATGAGACTTTTATCCCTGTCCAGGAACTTTCTAGGTTCTCTGGTGATTCTTTCCTTCATTCTCCTTCCTCTTTAAATTTTTCCTCAAGCCTAGATTCTCTGACATTGGCCTTGCTTTGTACTTAACATGAAGTCTCCATGCATGGGCAGCATTCCCCTCGCTTCCCACATTTTAGTGTTCAAACCATTACACACTCTTCCAGCTTATAAACCCGCAGCTCTTGCGCTGCCTCCCACCCCTTCAGCAGTCCTCCCTGAACTGTTCCTTACCCTGCGGTGATTCCCCTCCCTCAGGGAAGTTGTTCCCCCTGAATCTTCTTCTCAGCCTCCAGTTTTCACCGGACTCCCCGCTGGCCTTCTTTTCTACCTTTCCATGGATATTGCAAATGTTTCATCTCTTCTTCTTTTTTTTTTTTTGGTTGGTCGTGGGTCTTGAACTCTGGGCCTGGGCTCTGTCAGCTCTTCAGCTCAAGGCTAGTGCTCTACCACTTGAGCCACAGTGCCATTTCCGGCCTTTTCTGTTTATGTGGTGCTGAGGAATCGAACCCAGGGCCTCATGCATGGAAGGCAAGCACTCTACCACTGAGCTATCTTCCCAGCCCCCTCATCTCTTCTTTTGACTTCCCTGAAGCTCACACGGCTAACCCTCCTCATTCATCCAATAACCTGTTCACATATTTTACCATCTTGTGGATGTTTCAGGCCATGATCTCTTGGCTCTGTTGCTTTGGGGCCTGAACAGCTGCTCACCTATGGTAACTGGAAAGCAAAAGTAGAATAGGCTTGAGTCCTAATAGACCCTTCAAGGGCCAGTCCCTCCCCCTGCCCCCATGGGCTAACTTCATCCAGCCTGGTCCCACTTCCCAGAGTTCCTATCACCCCTCAGTAGTGCCACAGGCCTGTAACTATATTTGCAACCCATGCCGTGACAATATTCTTATGTAGGCACTAGCTCACCTGGAAATCCAGAGTGCTTTTGGGAATCTCCACCATCTCTACATCTGGTCTGTTACCCATCACTTCCAGTCCATTTGCAAACTTAAATGTATAGACCTAAAGTATATCTACTTCTCTTCATTTCTGTTTTCACTACTTTTCCCTGAGCCACTGTTACTCCCCTGCCCATGCCATGCTGGAAGCTTCCAATAAAAGTTTCTTCTTTCAATTTTCTTGAGCAGCTAGAGTAATCTTTAAAGCTCTATGCATCATTATGTCAGTTTCCCCTTTAAAAGTTCTTGTTACCTTCTATCAAACCCAAAATAGAATGCAACCTGTCTCCAGGCCTTTGTCTTCTATCTGGCCTTGTATATTCTGGCTCCCCTCCGCCACGCATTCCTTCCTATTCCCTTCACTGCTTCTTCTGCCCACCTGTATTTCTTTCTTCCTTTTCCTTTTTTTGTCGGTCATGGGGCTTGAACTCTGGGCCTGGGTAACTCTGGGCCTGGTAACTGGAAAGCAAAAGTAGGAGAGGCTTGAGTCCTAATAGACCCTACAAGGCTCTATTAGCTGAGGGACAGCTCTTCAGCTCAAGGTGAGTGCTCTACCACTTGAGCCACAGCGCCACTTCCAGTTTTCTGGTCGTGTTTTGGAGATAAGAGTCTCACAGACATTCCTTCCTGGGCTGGCTTTGAACAACAATCCTCAGATCTCAGCTTCCTGAGTAGCTAGGATTACAGACGTGAGCCGCCTGCACCCGGCTCCCAGCTGTATTTCTATTTGATGTTTGCTATAGTACATGAATTCCTCTCACCTTGTTTCTTTGCCTCTGCTGTCAGGCTGGAGACAGCGTCTCCTGGCTTTAGTACTACCTTCCCCGGAGCTTCTCCTTTTTTGGTTCTTCATCGGTGCTTTGATGCAGTTCTTATTGAGCATGTTCCTCCTCCTGCCTGCTCTCACAAAATTCCTCCCCGGAGCCCTACCTTTCCTTTCTGGAAGGTGTTATTAGAAATGCCCACTGTGTTTCTGCTACTAACAGTAAGGTCTGTGAGGGGAGGTGGCTGGGTTCTGTTACGTTCTCATTTCCTCATCACCTGGCACTTCGGATGCTTGCCAACACTTATTTCTTAAAACAGAGCTTGTTAAGAGCCGTTTTGAATAGCGAAATACCCATTTGGCACTTTCATTGCTGTGTACCATGTATGGTGCTTAAACATGGTCTCAGACTTGTGTGGCTTTTTTGAGTCCCTGACCCTGTATTCGGTGACTTGGAGCAGCTATAAGCCTCCTTTGTGCCTGGGCGTCACACTGAGCCAACTTCGTTTCTGAGCTCCCAACTTCTTTGGAAGATGTTCACGTGTTGGTGTGTTTGCTAACAGGAGTAGGCTAGAGCCACATCTAGAAGGTTTGGAGATGACACATGCTTGTCTTCATGTACGAGACCTCGTGTCATTGGGGTGTCCTGCCCTGTTCTGTAGTATGTGGGACTCTGGTTTGCTACTGTAGGTCATGCTGTCTCACGCGGAGTAGAGAGGATAAAATGAGCATAGTTTGAACGTGATCCCTTTCCCCTGTCTACTTGTTACTGTGGCCTCAGCTGAATAACACGTTTTCCAAGTGGCCCTGCGGGAAGGGGGTGCAAACTCCAAGCATCTTGCCCACAGGCACAGTCGCTTATTTTCAGTGTTCGCTGCTTTACAGTGTGAGCAATGCCTGTTAGAGTGATGCATGGTAAGGAATCATTTGGTTTAATTAAGCATCCTTTCCTAAGGGTTGGGATACAGCTTGCTGGTAGTGCACTTGCCTACAAGTAGGGGAAGCCTGGAGTTTATCCCAGCGTAGTTCTTTCTGAATCGTCTAACCTTTTTTTTTTTCTTCTACTTTTAAGCTTAGACTTTTAGGGGGAGAGGAGCTATTCTGAAGGCTTTGTTAAAAAAAATGGAATATACATTCTTATATTTTGAGCCCCACCCACACAAATCTGCATATTTCGGATCCCTTGCAAATCAAAGCTAAGAAAGCTCTTACATGCTAGCCTAGTGTTAATCTCCTTTTTATTTTATTTTTTTTCCTTCTGTGAGGTTCTGGTGCCTGAACTTAGGGCATGGACATTGTCCCTGAGCTTCATGTCTAGGTTTTTGGTGGTTAATAATTGATAAGTGTCTCATGGACTTTCTGTCTGGGCTGGCTTTGAATCATGATCCTCAGAGCTCAGCCTCCTGAATAGCTAGGATTACAGATGTGAACTATTGGCATCTGGCAGAAGATTTCCAGTGTATGTAGTAAACACAGTTGTGATTGAAATTTGCCAGAGACCCTGTCTTGTCTCCCCTCCATGTTGTGGTCTTTGCCAGCACACCCTAGTACTTTGGAGCTTCCAGTGACTGACCTTTCCTTGCTTTTGTACCTTATACCCTTAGGAGGAATTTGCCGCATGGAGGGGCAAAGTCCTTAGTTTAAAAGGGTAGCCACAATCCTAGTCTTTTTCTTAATGTAGTCTGATTACCAATAAAGGAATGTAATTGACTTTTAAATGTCTGAGGAGGAGGTGGAACAAAAAGGCCCCAAACAGAAGTGTTCTGTTGGTGAATGTGATAGACCCTTTGTTGCTTAAAGACAACCCCAGTGCTCTTTCACAGGGGAGCTGGCTGTGGTGCCTTGGCCAGCTGCCCCGCCTCCTCTTCCTCCAAAATATTTACCAAGTTCTAGAGCTTTAGTAAGCAGTGAAGTGTTTTAATTGGTGCATTGGCAAAGAGAGATAAATCTGTTGTTCGTTTTATTTCTGGGTGGGGGTGGGAGAGGGAAATGAGGTGCTTATTTTTTTTCCCTTTTCTGGAATCCTAATGCTGTGCTCTCTGTTGTCACTCTCGTTCTCTAGGCGTTAAGTGTAACGGAAACCCTGATTAAACCCTTGGAAAAATTCAGAAAAGAGCAACTTGGAGCAGTAAAGGTTTGTGTTTCATTTGCGCACCCTTGTCAGCAGAACACACTGCCACGTCTGGGTACGCTTTATTCACTCTTGGCAGCTTCGACGGAGATGCTGGGGGGAGCCATCTGTTGTTGTCTGTTTGCAATGTGCCTCGTCCCCTTTGGGGAGATGAAATTGAAAACAGAAAAACAAAAGCACCTGGATCGGGTAGTAAAACCACGAGTAATCTTCTTGGCTAGACCTTTCCATATAGAGTTTAAATAAATAACTATAAACGAGCATCGCATTTACCAGGATTTGAGGATTCTGATGGCTGTTGGGAGGGTGGTTCACTTTGCTGGATATCTCTGCCTTATGCCAGAGTGTGACGTTCTAGGCTTAACATGAGAGACATCAGGATGTTGTTGAAATTAGGAAGAATGGGATTGGGATGAAATTTCCTTCCATTTAAGAAAGATTTACTGAGCTTCCACGTGCCATTGTTGTTCTATGTAGTGTATTGTTTTGTATTGTGCTAGAATATTCAGAGAAAAGAAACCCCTAGCCTTTCACTCAAGGGTCTGTGATTTAGCCAGGATTTCCGGGAATAATAGGGCAACTTTGCCACAGGAGCCTGAGGTATATTTAGCAGCTTCTGAAGTTTATGGTCTGAGTTTTGGAATGATCCCAGTTTCTAGCACTCTTTCCTGAACCTTTTCTACGTAAGTAGGGGAGAATAAGTCACATTAGTGTGGTGTTGACAGTCTTTGGCTTGGTCCAAGGAGAAGAGAATAAAAACAGGAGTTTAGGGAAGAGAGTTTTTAGATGGGATTTGTAACTTTCTCCCCCTACATGCCTGGGAAATGAGGTTCTTTCTCTTTTCCTTCCTAAAAGAAACTGCTAAAATCCCTTGGTACCAATAAACTTTGTGGTCTCAAGAGCTGTAACTACACAGATGGGTCCAAAGCGTTCCAGCTTTTTAGTTGCGATTTCCAGAATCCATTCTCCTTTAAGCCATTAGCTGGAGGACTTGGCACTTCCTGCTTGGTGTAATGTTTTAGTGTTGTAATGAAGGACGGTATGGAGGTTGATGGTGCATGTGTTGGTGGGTGTCAGCCTGAAGCCTCACTCCCTTCCCTCCACATCTGCCCAGCTGTGGTAGCTGCCCTGGCTCTGGTTTTGCAGCAGAACATGCTACCTCTGTGGCCTCAGGGAAATTTCTGGCTTTCTCTATAAATCAGAATGGACCTCACCACTCTGTTTTGAAGTTTTATGATTGTAGCTCCTTAAGCTGTTTCAGAGCTTGAACGTATAGGCACATGTTTAAATGTTTTCTTGGCAGGTACTGTATGAATACAATATTAATTTCTTACTTCATTTGGATCCTGGTGGGGAAGGGTAGAGATTGCATTATGTGATTGAAAAGTGAATGCAGTTTAATACATAGATCTTTTTATTTCACACCTACGCTGCTTGTTTTTATATATTCTTGCCTTAACGGTAGCCTTTAGTAGAACTTCCTAGTAACTCCTTCCTATACTCACACTTAACCCAGAATCTACTGTTATGGTTACGTCTATGTTTGTTTGCCAAATAAATTGTCATTTTCAAATGAGAAATGATTTTAGTATTTTAGTCTGGGCCTTGATATGTCCTGTGGTCAGATTCTATGTCAGTGTCCGATTTTGTGGTATCTTTATTGCTTTTGTGCCTTCAAGTTTATGAATGCTTTATCCCACACTCTGGTTCAGTGCAGTAGATCCGATGACTGTCATATGAACTGTTGCATTCACCTTGTGGATCCAGAAAGAAGCCTTGCTTCTTTTTTTTTTTTTTTTTTTAGAGCTAAGAGTTTTTTTTTTATTTATTTATTTTTTTTAAAATTTTATTTTATTTTATTTGAGAACATACTGTACAGAGGGGTTACAATTACATGGGCAGGATAATGCATACATTTCTTACCAAGCATTGCAGCCTCCTCCTTTGTTTACCCTTCACCTCCCTTCCCAGCCTCCCCCCTCCCTCCCACCCAATCATAACCCCCTCCCCCCGCCTTGCTTCTTTTGTGTAGGTATCAAGGCTTGAATTCAAGGGCCTTGAGTTTTGATTGGCTTGTCTTGGTTGGCTCTACCACTTAAGCCATCTCTCCAGCCTGGCATTTTGCTGGTTAACTTGCAATACAATATTCAGACTTGTCTGCCAAGGCTGGCTTCTTCAAACTGCGATCCTCTGATCTCCACCTCCTAAGTTGTTACGATTACAAATATGAGACACTGGAACTTTTTTTTCTTTTTAAGTACTGGGGTTTGAGTTGCTAGCCTGGTACAGTACCTCTGAACCATGCCTCCAACCTTGATTTCCACATTTAGTATTTAGAATAAGGTCTCCCTTCCAACCTGGGCACATGCCTGACCCTGAATCACTTACTTTCTGTTATGAGTGGTATTACAGGTGCATGTCCAGCTTTCTTCTGTGCAGAAGAAGTCTCCCATCTTTTCTGCATGGGCTGGCCTAGAACTGCTGATCTCCTCTTTTCAACTATCAAAGGAGTTAGGATTGCATACATGAGCCCCTGGCACCCAACAAGATGCCTTTTTTAAACTGATGTTCCTCATACATCAATAAAAGTTAGAGTAAGTGGATTAGGTTATCTGTATTATGTCACAATATGCAAACATCTCTCTTTTCCATTAGATAGTTGTTAGAGCACCTGCCTAGCAATTTTGAGGTACTGAATTAAAAACCCCAGTACCATCACTGCAAAAAATAGTTGCAAAAAGGTCTGGTATATTGCTTCAAGTGGTTGAGTGCCTACCTAGCAAGTGTGAAGCCTTGAGCTCAAACCCAAGTACAGTAGCAACAACACATACACACATGTAAAAGTCTGTGCTTTATTTATTTTCTGCCATCCTCCACCCTGCCTTAATATAGAGTGTGTGTCTAGTAAATAACGTATTTGATATTTCTGTTAGAAACGAGAGTTTGGATATTTATTTTCTCTGTGCTTCTTAAATATCCAGTCCTATTTGCAAGCATCACTATTAACATGCGATACTTAAAAAGAACTTTACTCTCTTAAAGAGCATTTTGAAAAACAGTGTAAAAAATTTTCATGTGAAGATTTAAAAAAGAAAGTACTAGAAAAGAAGGAAAAACTGACAGTATGAGAATTTTCAGGTACCACTGGTAACCTTTTTATCTTCTCCTTCTTCTCCTTTTTCCCCCAGCTCCTTTGCCTTTCTACAGAAGCTCTCTCAGTTCTCCCTTTGTCCATTTCCAGAAGCCCAGTCATATGGTTAGTTGTGACCTAAGGGGCTAGGTAGTTTGCATAAAGTGGATTAAAAAAAAAAAAACAACCCATAGCACTCTCCTTGATCTGTTGGAAGATGCCCTTTTTGAGTCACATCTGCTTGGTCCATCCCCTACCTCTCTCTGATTGGTAGATGCTGCTGCCTTTCCCTCTGTGCATGCCGGACTCTCATCTCTCTGTAAACACTGTTTGCCATCACTGGACACACGATGTCCTGTATGGTGTCACCCTGCTATGTGGAGATTTCTTTGAGGCCTGCGTTGTTTCTGACACCACCCCTTCCCCCATTCTTTCTCATCCTGGGGAGGTTGACATTATTTCCCATTGTCACACAACACTCATACAACCATTACTTCTTAGAGGCTGAGTTAGCCACAGAAAGCAAATATGCACCAACCACATAAGCTGGGTGCCGTGACTCTGGTCTCTTAATCCCAGCTACTCTGGAGAGCTGAGATAGGAAGGACCAGCCTGGGCAAAAGGTTAGCAAGATCCCTTTCTGAGTCACTAAGCTGAGTATGGTGGCATACCCCTGTGATCCTAGCTACTTGGGAAGCATAGTTAGGAGAATCAGTTAGGAGGCTAGACCTAAGCCATAAATAAATAAATAAATAAATAAATAAATGAGATTCTTGGGGCTGGGAAGGTGGCTCAGTGGTAGAGCGCTTGCTTTGCATGCATGAGGCCCTGGGTTCGATTTCTCAGCACCACATAAGCAGAAAAAGAGGGAAGTGGCACTGTGGCTTAAGCGGTAGAGTGCTAACCTTGAGCTGAAAAGCTGAGGGACAGCGCCCAGGTCCAGAGTTCAGGCCTTATGACTAACAACAACAACAAAAAAAGTAAGATTCTTTCTGAAAAAGAACTTAAGCTAAGAGGATTTGGGGTGGGTTTCAAATGGCAGAGCACCTATCTAGTAAGCTTAAGGCACTGAGTTCAGACTTCAGTACCAACAAATAGATACATACACAAAAAGCACCGAATATGACCTAACAGGTATAGTGGAACATTTAAAATTGCTTTTTAGACATATATCTGTTCTGGTTGAAGAAAAAGCTCAACTCATATATAATTATGTATCACCTTATTTCCATCACCAGACTCTTCAACCCAGACTTCTTTTGTGTTATGTCTAAGGAATAAACTAGCAATAGCTAGCCTTGGTTAAAATGGAGTCTGTGAACTTGTATGCCCTGGTTGGTCTTGAATCATGATCTCTCCCTCCTAGGAATCTAGGATTACAGCTTGAGCCACTTCCTCTGGCTTTAATAAATAAACTTTTACTAAAAAGTACCATTCCACTGGGGGCAGGGAAAGCGGTGTGGTGGCTTGCCTATATAATTCTATTGTATCCTGGAGACTGTGATCTGGAGAAGTTTGAGGCAAACTAGCAGAGAAGAGCTTTCAAGAAGATGTGATTGTGGTCGGCTTTTTCCTTCTTTCAGAGCCTTGATGACTGTGTGATTTGGGATTTTATTTTTAAATAAAAATTTTTTTTTTTTTTTTTTTGCCCGTCATGGGGCCTGAACTCTGGGCCTGGACGCTGTCCCTCAGCTTTTCAGCTCAAGGCTAGCGCTCTACCACTGGAGCCACAGCGCCACTTCCGGCTTTTTCTGTTTATGTGGTGCTGAGGAATCGAACCCAGGGCCTCATGCTTGCAAGGCAAGCACTCTACCACTGAGCTACCTTCCCAGCCCCTGGGACAAATTATTTACTGCCTCTAAGCCTAAATTTC